CTGTATCCGCCAAAACACTCAAGCATAAATCTCTATCTTCGACGCGAAACAAGCGGGTATTTAGGTACCCCTTCTCAGTCCGTTTCAGCTAGGCACATAGTTGACTGCACCTGTTTGATTCGACACCAAACTTCCAGTGATAGCATCACAATTATTAAGATTGTTCAGACGTTTTTAACCTGCTCTGTGGTTTGGATCTTGGTCGTCGTGGTGACTTGTTACTTTTCTATAACCCATTTCCATTTTGGCTACAGTCTCTGTGAGACTTTTAACACTCTCAATGAGTTATGCTATGACTGGATCTTTTGATGATTCTTTTTTTGTGTATGATGTATCGTATGTGATCTAGACGGAGTGCCTTCCTCCATTATTCTTTCTGTAATACGCTCTAAGCGTGATAAAAATGTGTTTGGGTCTTGAGTATTCAAACATTGTTGGACGTAGCATGATAGAGCTTGTATCCATCCTTGTTTAAGACTGCTTCCTTTACTGTGTTGTCACTCACTAAGACTTGGAGGTGACGTAAGAACTGGGATGGTGACCTATCATCCAATGTTTCTCCCTAAATAAAGGCGGATTCTTTGTACGTCCGACGCGGATAGATGGCTCGTTATCCCTCGTCTTAAAGTGGCGTATGGTTGTGATGTTAGTGGCCGCAAAATTTAGTCACAGACGTATTTGGTGACTGAAGGAGGGTAGACAGCATAAATTTCGATGGCTCATTCCTTCAGATTTAATATTATGTTTCGTCATATAATTCTCTAATCGAGCAAACCTCGCTTCGGTTTCAATAAGATCAAATTCTAGGAGTCGGAAGTTCGTAGTCATAAAAGTGTTTATTTCTACCCATGACAAATTACCCCAATCCTAAAGGCTTTCTTTTTGAGTTGAGTATGACATGTGGTATATGAAAAATACATTAATATAATTTGAACGGAGCAAAATAATGTTTTAACATGAACGATTTGCGATAAAATAACAGTTTACGTAAATATATATATGTTCGAAATTTATGTTAAAGATAGTCAGAAGGTTTGCTTTTGCGACTAAGCAAAAAATAATGATAGGTCGAACAGAATACAATCCTCATTATTGATAATGTTGTTAAATTGTGTCCAATGATATTTATGAGATAATGTATGTCGAATAGAAGTAATGACAATAGTAATCAAGAACCATAATTATGATTCCATAAATAATAGCAATCCAAACAGAGACAAAGTATGTTCTTTTTCTCGGAAACTGTTGTTTATCGATTAAGTCAGCTACGTTGAATCCATTTGTCGAAAGTTTATGGCGCGGATAGTTCTTCATCGACGTAGTTTGTTGCGTTAGATTCGTGGTGGGGCTCATCTTTTTGGTAGCCCCGTTTCTGACCACAATTAAATCATATGATGATTGCTATCGAAATACATAATCCCGCTACCCTCGTACATAACTATTGATTTCATTCATGTTAGGGGATAAAGAAATAAAAATTTTATATGCAGTCGTACTTTGACAGAACATCAGTGATGACTGTATTTGTCAGTTTAACCACGTACATATCGTAAATTTTACAATTTGCAGTTGCACCACTCAGCTGAAGGTGTGTTTTCATTATAGGGTAACCGTTGTAACCACATTTGTTCCAATGAACCGATTAATTACTTCATGTATCTTAAAAATTATGAAAGTTTCCGATCTTCCAGATCACATTTTTTTAATAGTCGTTGCGATCTTTTCTCATCAGAACCTAATGTACGTTGAATGAATGATGCCTTCAGGTTATCATATGGGTCTTGCTCCGGTAGTTGATCGATTAAATCACTGAGTTCTTCAGCGATCTCGATCGGAAAGACGCCTCCAACGTGTGCGTATTCTGTTGCTTGTGACGTAATTCCTCGAGCCATAAAAAAAGCTTGTATGTCACTGAGATCATCAGTAAAATACATTACATGAGAAAGCCTACAGGTCTGGTGTGATAAACAGCATGATAAACAAAATAAAATTAAGGCCCATCAAATAATTGGGGTGGACCAAAATATATCAGTCCTAAAAATAATGACAAAGTTATCGTGAAAGAGATTTGATGTGTTAATACGTTACGCACACATGAAGAATCTACTTGATGTTACTTAAATTGTCAGGAATATGCGTGTTCTAGTTTTTCTTGTTCTTGTAACGTATAATTATAAGTTGTAAGCAATTGTAAATAAAATAGCTCTAATTAGAGCTATATATCCAGATAAAGCATGTAAACGTAGATAGCACATATATTTGAGTTCTGCCGCCGTAACAGCTGATAATTGAGGACAAGAAGAGTGTGTGTTCAGCAGTGTATTTGTGAGCGGCAATCAATGCGTCGTGTACAAAAACGGAACAAAGGATCAATGGTCATGTTTCTTGGACAACAGTCTTAAAGTCAATGATCGTATTGTACAAATAATGAGAACTAATGAAATAAATGAAAATAATAGCAAAATAGCTAATAATAAAAGTTGGACGTTGACACCATCGGTTTCCGTCTCAGCGGTTTAGAGGTTACGCCTTCGTGCTCGAGACCGAACGTGATGGGTTCTAGCCCCGTATGCAGGGTTATGGATGCACACTTCTGAGGAGTCCCGTAGCTTGGATTGACACATGAATTCAACTGTTTAAATTACTAAAATGTTCACCAACCCCGTTCTAATCAAAATAATAATAATCAAAATGTTGACCACCACAAAATAAAAACAATGAATCTTATAGTCTTATCGTCAATTGAACAAGAATTTGATGATGTTGTGGTTAGACCAAAATACGAAGTCAACAAACCATCTGCTCACCGTGGACTTCGACCAAGACAATGTGCTCTTAGCACATTAGACAAAGAAAATTCAACAGAACCAGATGAACTACACCCCAAAATCTTGAGGCATGTTGCACATTATATCGTGACTCCACTGACTGTGATATTCGATATGTCACTTGACCAAGGTCTGTAACCCATGGACCGGAGGGGCGCAATCGTCACTCGCATACATAAAACAGGACCAAGACAACTTCTATCGAACTACAGACATGTAAGCCTCACAAGTGTTGCAGTTAAAATATTGGAAAGCATAATCAAACAGACCATAATGGGGTGAATTTTTCCGCAACGCAACCATGTAAATTTGATGTATCGCCCAGAGTCATCTGTGCGTCCAAGTAACCACAGATTTTGTCATTACATAATGTATTTTTAGTTAAATAACTAGATTATGTTGTTAATTTTGCTCTGGTCATAATTTTTATTCGCCAAGTGTGACTGCGTTACACTGTACATTCATTGCACGCTGGGGTGATATCCCAAGTTATAGTAAGTTTAATCTCATAGTTGATTGTTTCCAGATAGACCGTCAGTGCATAATGCTACTGAAGGAAGGTTTGTTGTACTGTAAACTATGTTTTTATGGACAACTGACTGTTGTCTTCAGTCTGAAAGCATTATATATATCCTTTGTCTTATGTTAGGTAAGTTCGACTGGCCTATATTTCGTGTTTTGGTTTTATCGGCTGAATTATTTCCATTTAACTACTTTGAGCAATACGTCTGTGTAAATGAAACAATAATTATGACACTTGATTAGTTTAGTGTTCTTGGTTGTCGTATAATTCAGTTTAGTCGAAAGGATTATAGTATACTTAAGTATATTGCTTGAAGCCTGTAACGAAACAGATCAGTTTAGTAAGTACAGCTGCCTGTTTCTTATGTGTATACTGATTCAAATCAGTCCGGTTAAGAATAGGAAAAAATGCCTTTGGTACTTTAGCTGTCATACATTATTTGATAGCTTTAAGTATGTTTGGCGTTTATTTCTAGACAGTACGTCTAACACTGTCCATGTTTCAAGAACACTGTCATTAAATGATTTCCCCAGCAATAACATCGGTAGCAGGATAGCTAAGTGTCTGAGCTTTTATTTGCCTGCAAAATACCAGTATACAGTCTTAGATGAGGAGTGTTGTGTCTTAATTAAATGCTGCTGGCTGTGGACAAGTGTTAAAAGTCTTTTTGACAACTGGAACCTTTAGTTTACCAGATACTAAGTCAAATTGTATATCTTCCTGTAAATAGACGCAGATGCATGGGAATACGTAAGTGGGAGCAAAATAATAAAAGCTGTGCGATGCTGTACTTTGCACAAGTTTTATTTGCTGGCGTGATCCGATATTTATGAAGTCGAGGTAAATCACAGCTGCATAAATTCTTTCCTTAGAAACATGTGATTTGTTTATTTACTTTTTCAACATTCTTGACTAAATCCATTACTTTCTTTTATTTGTAATCCCAGGCTCCCAACTTTGGGGAAATTTTGGGGAACTTCCCCAGGTCTGGTTAAATTTTGGGGTTTTTGTGCCATTTCCCCAAAATAGGCAAACATTTCCCCAAAGTTGAGAGCTTGGGATGTAAAAGGAACGAGCCGTCTCAGATCTTACAAAGTCATTGAGCTTTATATCTATGGCTCTATGAAACTTTACGGGAGACCCAAGTAACAGCAGATTATTAAAAGCATATCTGAGAAGAAAACTGGGCAATCACAGGAGCATACTAAAAAAAGAATAACATGGGTTGTAGGCCTTCTGTCATTACTACACAAATTTGAATCTCGATTGGTGTGGTAGTGCTGAATAGCTCCGTCTTCGTACTACAATATATATATATTTTTATTCACGTTCCAAATCAAACAGACCTCAGAGTATTAACACACGAAGTCAGACTTTGCAAAATATGGTTGATATAGCCCTAGCACATCTACAAAGCATAGCGTAATCACAAAAATAAATAATATGGCACATTGGTCATAATCATCATGAGTTCAAGGAACTTACAATGCCTACAAGTACATTGAATATTGAATCTCGATAAAAAGTTTTCTTACAAAGAGCTATTCCATGAAAAGTATTATAAACATGGCAGGATTTTACTCAGATATTTAAAAATTTTCCGTGGGAGAGGTTAATTAACTTTGTTTAAGTGGGTTCTTATCCGCTACAGACGGTGCTTGTTTTCACTGTAAGGTCGGTTGTTGTCGCTTGCTAATTTGTCTAAGTAAATCTAGTTGTACATATTGTACATAGACACTATGGACAGTAAGGTGAATTGCAAGGAACATGTTCTTAAGGTTAATAACCATGAGGTTGTTGATAATGGACATACTAGCTACTTCTCTAAAATGCCCCCTGCAACAGCAGAACAACTGACCATCGCAAAAGTTCTATCTAGGCCAGATAACGATGTAAATATCCGGTGCTACGTTGTTCAGGTATGTTGCTTCTACCAAGGGACTGGAGGTTTCAGCTTCAAGAATTAACTGAGTGTTCAGAAGACCAGGCAGTCACAGCATTATATGACTGCGAAAACAATATTGAGAGAGCAGTTGAGCTAGTTCTAGATCAGTTCCGCTGCGGTAAGACAGAAGAGTGGCACACAACTGTCAGCAAGCGTGGCAAAACAAGGCACTCTCAGTCGGTAGGTACTTGGATTTTGTTAAGGAGTCTTGTAGGTACCAGAACCCGGACCAGATACAACAGCACCTCAGAAAAAAGCTCCTAAACAGAAACTAGAAAAGCTTGTTGAAAATCAAGATAAATTCTCAGGACATAACGTTTCGGTATCACCTCCAGTTAACGTCACCAAAGTACCTCGAATAATTTTGTAATTTCTTTCAGAATTCAAACTCTCACCCTGAAAAGTTCAAGAAACAAGGCACAAAGAAAAGAAATCCACATAGAACAGATGCAGTCGCTAGTGACCGAGCTATCATTCCACCACAAAGCCGTAATGATGATGTGCTGTGCAACAGTTCGAAGCAGTTGCCAGAAAGAAAAAGTAGAGTTGAGTCTGAGGGTATGTTCAATTTATGGTTCAACTTGCATTTAGCATGGGATCCGTACGCTGACTGTGGAGAGTGGGAAGGGGATTCAATCGAAATAGTTAATTCAAATGCATCCATTGCCATGGGTATGCAGGAAGCAGTATCCTTACCACCAGAACTCTTCCATGACAGTCCAAGTTGTTCGGAAAAGTAAATCTCACCTCGATTTTTATTTTGAGTTTTTAGAAATTTAAACGTGGATTTCAATTCGCATGTTGATGCTGTCCAAAATCTTACTAAAGATCCAGATGCTTTGGATGCAGAAGCATTGTTTGCGTCACTTGCCAAAAGTAAACCGCCTCCCCGCGCGTTTACTGGGAAGCTGGAGACGTCATTATTTTTTGCCCCGGAATTGTTGCCTAGTGATCAATTCAACTGGAAACCGACTTTCGGTGGTGAATGTCCTGGTTCACAGTTTAATACCAATACAACTGCAATTCTGAGTCCTGGACAGATTGGCAGTAATGCAGACGAACCACTTCGATCACAAAATGACTCTCGAAATGTCCAAACATCCACGGACCGACCCGATTGTAGTCCGAAGCAGTTTTCGTTCCCACAAATATCCCAACAATCACATTCCAGTGATTTTGAACTTAAGAACGCGTCGTTAGGCGTTCTTTTAGATCCTCCACCTAAAACAGAAGAAAAGGTAAGCAATGTTCCCAATGACTATCCATCGCGACACTACGATGAACAAATGGTGTCTAAAGTAGCACTTTCATATCCGATAAATCATAATAAACAGACACCCTCCATGGTTGCCAGAACTACCAGTGATAAACCCAGTTATTTGGAACCAAATATTAAGAACTATCTTTTGGATGGTCTACCGGATAACATGAGCAAAATGAACGTTGGAGAGGTCACTGGACAAAGCACAAAAGATCAGTTTTTAATTCAGAATAACGCACAATCATCTCTCGCCCCTTTTTCTCATGGTCAAAATGAACAACACATGATTCCTCACTTGAATAAAATACCCGCCTCACATGCTAACACCCACGTATCTGGACACACTCAACAGGTTAACAATTCCCAGGCGACTCATCTTCCTCCAGGTATGCCACACTTCATCAGTCAGTTCGCTCCACCTGCTTATCACATGTTTAATTTACCAGGCGGTTCTAGTACAACCCCTGCTATTTTCGATCTCGATCATTTGCAGCTCTTGCAACAACAGAGAATGCTGTATGACATGCACTTACAGCACCAGGCTGCCACTACTGCTCAAAGTCTTCTTACTGCAAATGCAGACTCAGCCTCAGCAAAACCCGTCAGCCACAATTTATCAAATCCAATGGGTCATGTTACTGCAGCAAACACAGGAATGCGACCGGACATGCTGACAACTGCACTTGGGCACACTCCACAGATGATGACACCTGGACACCCTTATTTTCCTTATCCCGGTTTTGTCCTCATGGTAAGTTCAGTATTAACTTTATTCAGTTCATAATTGTTCAAACTATTATGCAATTGCTCCATAGAAGTTAGTCCATTGCAATTATTTTATGGTCTACGAGCATTTGATAAACGTTTCATTGGTGAAGCTGACTTTAAGACCCATATAGATTTATATTACGGTGTCATTTTTGTGTTCCACTGCGTTATTCTCCAAAATACTACACATATTCGAATGCTTATATCTGTACTGGGTTATTGTTCTTACTAATTTCATTCTCCGTGACAAAGTTTAGCTCCCGTATCTAAGCAATTTCAGTTGTCCCTAATTAAATCATTTAGATAGTCAGGGTTCACTTGTCTGGTTTTAGGTCTAGAGTTTCTAGCGATTTTTGGCCAAATCACTATTGTTCCTTGCTAATCATAGGCAGTAAAAGTTGACTTTGACTTGGGTGTTCGTCGGTTCAGTTTACCTCTTTACTCGAACACTATTAGTCGAGTCAGAGCTTATGGCGAACTGTCGTCTGCTTTTGCAACCTCAAGTGGTGTCCGTCAAGGCTGCCCACTTTCTCCATTTTTGTTTAACTTCATCATAGATCTATTGATGGAAATAACGCTCTCATCGACTGAATTCTCGGGTATTGATCTCCTACCAGGAGGTCCACTTATTGACTTATAATACGCAGATGACGGTCCTGTTTGGTGGAAACGCTGATGAAATGCAGAGTCTTTTGGTAGCACTTAGCAACAATGCCGGAATGTTTGAGATGCGCTTCTCTCCCTCTAGATGCAAGTTGTTGCTTCAGGACTGGTCTGCGTCAACACCTGAACTAAGGATAGGGAGTGAAGTAGTCGAACGCGTCGATAACTTCACTTATCTTGGAAGTCTGATCAGCCCTAATGGGTTGGTGTCTAACGAAATCTCAGCACGGATTCGAAAAGTTCGTTTGGCCTTTGCCAACTTACGTCACCTATGGCGAAGGTGAGATATCCGTCTATCAATTAAAGGACGAGTATTCTGCCCGGCAGTTCGTTCCGTTCTACTATACGGATGCGAAACATGGCCTTTAAGAGTAGAAGATACTAGTAAGCTACTGGTATTTGATCACAGAAATATTGCTTGTGTCTTCCGGGATCACTGGGTAAGTAATAGTGAGGTTAGACGCAGGGTATTAGGGAATGATGGTAAATCAGTTGATGAGGTTATGAATCTTCATCGACTGAGATGGTTGGGCCACGTGTTGCGTATGCCTGAACACCGATAACCACGACGCGCAATTCTGAATAGTGCTGAGAATGGTTGGAATTAAGTTAGGGGCGGCCAAACCAAAACGTGGCACCAGTGTTCGAGGTCACTAACTTCTGGTCTGAGACATGTTGGTAGATGCAGACTACCTGGTTGCTGTCCTCGTGACTATCGTAACCAATGGTTAGAGACTCTTGGTGACATGGCTCGGAATCAATCACAATGGCGTCGGTGTATACACTGTCTGTCTTCCTTTAAACTAAGAGATTAAAATCGCTTCATATCTTTCTTTCTAGGAACTAATTCTTTCTTCCTGTACTATGTCCTTATATGCAATCTTTCTTCTATATATTACCACCACTGAATTAACTACTTCTATGAATCCGGTGTTCATCTTGTTGTGCTAATGCGGTATGGCAACTTGGACCGATGCATATACGTGCCTGGTCCTACATTGCAGCTGACTGACTGACCATATCAAAATCTCATGACAAGCGGAAAATGATGAGAGGAATATTATTAACTGCAAAAGGAGTGTAAACAGAAAAAACCGCAGTTCAAGATGAATAAATTGTATCGAAACAAAAAAGTATGAAGTGACAACCTAAGGGTAAAAAAGGATAATAATTGCAACTGCCTCAGTGCAATCGACCTTGAGCCGTATTCACTCACGTTTCCAGACACGGGTTACTACCATCCCGTGAATATATCAAAATTGACCTAGCGCATATTAACAGCTAGTGACTTTATATATGTTGTATTTACTTAATATTTTTTCAGTCTGCTGTACTAGCTGTTTTGTACACCAGGGTAGGTGTTTGCTAGTCATGCGTTATGCGCTCCGTAGGCATCTAAGTCATAGGATCACTTAGAAGACTTACTTGCCACTAATCCCTGATAACATGTGACCGAAATGTCACCCACCCGGTGATCCTCTAATTTACGGGGTTTCTGAAAAATCAGTGGTCGAATACATATTACCTACACATTTCTTGTGTTTCCGTTGACCGTAATTTACAAATTCTGAACAATAAAAGAAGGCTACTGTAAACTATATTGACAGGTGTACCTACATTGCTGCTAAGGTGTCTAAATCGACTGGTCAATTAAACTAAAACGATTTTCAAGATAAGCCAAAAACCGGTTGGCTGATTCTTTCGGTTATCCAGCTGGGTAGTTAGATAAACCGGACCTAAGTCTTAAACCCACCTCTGCTTATTATCTATGATATTCAAGATGCTACGTCATGTCACCATCTCCACCAAACAAATTTGGATTTTGCAAATCTTTTGCTATATTGGTCCCTGAAATTTCAGGTTATTATTATTATTTTAACACACCAGTAGAATTGGAAACGCCGATATACTTTTTACGCCTTTAAATGACAACGACTACTATAAAATATGTTGACCAGAAAAGGCGAATGAAGTTGTAATGTTGAGAGCGTCGGTTTGCTTACACCCAGAAACTTGACTTAGGGTGGATATTTGATCAGCTCACTCATGTCTAAAACCAGTTTAGTTTTCCCGCGGTCCACTGTCCACAGCCTCTAGTTTAGCATTAGGTTGTTTTCGAATACAATATTGGTAAGGTTGATTTCTCTGTAGCTTTCATAAGAGGACTTTTGTCGTTCCTGTAAGCAATCAGTACTCTTGAGAAAGTTATTTCACGAATCTAGGTTCTCTTCTCGAGCCATATCTGTGCCTAGTCTTTTCTGATAACATTGGTACTGCTACTAGTGCTACTCTGGCACCTCGTCCTGACGTGTGGCAACTCAAAGCCATACACATGTGCCAAGTTGTGCGTTACGTTTGGTTGACTGAGTGTTCGCGACTAGCCTGATATAATTATCTACAGCTACCAGGTTACTGGTACAGTACCTCAGTCAGTGTAACTGTTGGCACTAAACGTCCATCCATAAAAGAGTTTGAAACTAGTCCATCAAGGTTAGGTCTCACTGCTGAGAGTCTAATATCAACCTCACCGCAGCCCTTGATGAAAATGGGTAGCTGGAAATTACCTGTCCCTCAAAATATCCTGTCTTTCCGGTAGTTTGGTCTGAAAACTCATGTTTTTCAAACATAGTTCTACTTATAGATGTTTTTAATTAAACTTTCCAATGCTTCTACATAGTTGTGTAGGTTATCCTATTGTCACTACATTCTCTTCTACTCGCTTCAATTTTCTTGGTGGTCTCGGCGGTCTTGATGGTTTGGTGTTTGACGAAATCCCTCTGTGCTCTTATTTTCAATTTTCTGTGTAGGGAATCAGCATATTCATCCACCTAAACCAAATTAGGTGCATAATAATGTATAAGTGAAGTTGGAGAAAGCTAGGGACGGTCGAACCAAAACATGGCATCAGTTCAGTCCATGAATTCATTGAGGATTGGACTTGACCTTGTTAACAGGTGTCCACGTGATTGTCGTAACTAGTGGTTAGAGATTTAAAATAACATGGCTCAAAGTCGTTTACAATGGTCTAGGTGATCTGCCTCCAAATGCCCTGGTACGGCTGAGAGTGGGGAGAGTCCGCTCTCCCTCTCGAAATGCTCTCAAATGGCCATGCGTATATAGCCTCTGCCAGGGAAGTCCTACTCACTGCCTCCTCGTGGCGGGGGTGTTGTTTACGAAAATGAGAGGACGAAAAGCGAATGTCCGGCGCTTTAACCGGATCCCAAAACAATGGTGCACATGGGCTCCAGTATCCTGAAGGAACAAATGGCGTATGAACCAATCGTTGGTCACCGGCTACCATGTGACTGCATCTCCTTACGATGCTCCACTGCCTTGTGGGTCAGACGTTCAGGTCGAAGGCTCGGGGTGTGGCCCCCTAAGAAAACCACCTGCTTTGGTTTGGGCACCCGGGCAGTATCACAGCCTTCACACAAATCAAAATTGATTTATGTGGCGCATATGTACTTGGTGCCTCCCTGTACCTATACTTATGTGTCAAAATAAAATAAATAAATAAATGTCTTTCCCCAAATTATAAGATTCTAAATTCCTCATGATTTTTATTGCTTCTGTCTTACTAATTTATATTTTCTCAAATCATGTTTTTAATGCCTAGTCTTTTTTTAGTACTGCTAATACTGTTACTGCCTCTACTCTTCTGCGATTTTGTCTGAAAATTTCATCCCACTGTTCTAATGAGGTCTGAAAACTTGAACCGATGTACATGCTTACTAGATTTAACATTGTGACAGACTGCTGTCCAACAGCATCTGCAGCGAACATGGGAATCGGTGTGACAATGTATTCTTTTGCATCTCATTTCCATGGTGTGTTCGAATTAAACGCGATTATAAACTACTATTGTATATACTTTTTCAACGTGTTTGGTAAGAATATTTTGATATCTCGTCCGTATCATCAATAAGCGCAATGTATGCTTGCGAATAGACCTAATCGCTCTTTCAAATCTCTATATTCCAGGATAACTATATTTAACCTAAAAACTATTTCTTTCTCATCATTTTTGACATATTAACTGTATTATTACTATCTATTGTTCAGAATGGTTATCCAAATCCATTTTTAAACCAACAACAACCAAATTCAGACAATCCCCAAGTTCAGAATCCTGGTCAGTGTGCATCACCGATTACCCAGCACCAATCCCAGCTAAACCAAGCTCAATCTTATAATAACCTCAAACAACTGGGCAATGGAGTTGGGAACTATGAAGATTTGTTAGATGTCAAGTATGGTGACCCATCCAAACAAGGTTTGTGTTTTGCGAGTTCCAATTACATTCGTTATAAGCAATAGTCGACTGTATTTTTTAAAGGAATGTTATTTTATCAGTGTACTTGATTAGCATAGTATAGTGGTATGTAAAAGTCGATTTTAATTTTGTTTCTATATCACGCAGACATAGCTTCGACCGATTTAAACCTCTTAACCACAGGTGAACTTAAACCTCTGTATTAATCGTCCGTAGCCAAGACAGAGCCTGGGAAAAATACATGTCAGTCCGAGTTGATCGAGTTGCATACCAAATTAGCTAGAGAATATCAAATGCTCCAAAATAATTGTAGTAGTACTAATAGTGGAAAAAAACTAAACACTGAGAATCTAGTTTAAAAGAGGTAATGGAAAGTTACGTATGAAGGTAAACTGGGATATAGAGGGAAGTTTATTAAATGCTCTTACAGCATCATGACCAATTCTGCACCATGCCATCTAACTTCTCCAACCACTAGTTAGTTATCGGTTCCTAAACAACTGCTTATACTCTTACTACATCTACCACTATGGGATTTGAATCGACAACTGTATCTCTGTGCTAATACGGTATGGCAACTCGAACTGATGTACGTACGTACGAAGTTCTACGTTGTTACTGACTGACTGACCCTAAACAACTAGTAAATAACCATTATTGTTATATGTTTCGGTGAACAGTGATCCTTTATTTTATCTCTAAAATGATGCTAAGATTTCGCTCCATGAGCAGACTAACTTTCTGATCTCATGAGTTTACTTTTTCTGTAATTAGACAGCTGAAACTACATATCTGTCACCTACTGCCACTTTAGTAATCCTTATAGTGGTATCATAGATTTAACGCATTTAATGTCATTCTATGATAGAATGTTCATAATAAATCCATTGATTTGTATATCAAACGATTTTCGTGTTTTTATATTTCAGTTGGCTTCAAAACTAGCTCAAACCCACCCAACTATAGTTCATTCCAATCTCAAGGAATGTCACTAGATACTGTCGGTGGAAAGTTATCTTCTGCCTCTCATTCCAACAACGGATCTCTGGTTCAAAATTTTAACCATGGTAATAGCAATTCTCATGCACAGCACTTTTCACCACAGTTTTACGCATCTGTGTCGGGTTCACCATACATGAACACAGTTGCTGCCGCTGTAGCTGCAGCAGCAGCTGCTAAACATGGACCCAATAATAGTTCTACCGTCAGTACAAATCAATCTAATCCAAATATCGGTGTTGCTACTAACCAAGCTGGCGCTGTTACTGGGCAAAATCAAATACATTTACCTGGGAACTCGTCTCAAGGAATGGTCTTGGGTAATGCAGGTCAAAGCTTACATCACCAACGTGCTCCAATTCCACACGCACAACACTGATCTAAATGAATTACTGATAAAGTTATTATACTAAGCTAGTTGTTGTTTGTCACTCTGCTTTGGCTAATCTTAAATCAAAGTTGTCCATAGAGTGGTTTTCTACTCGATTTCACTTACGTGGTCGAGACATTTGCCTTTTAGATTTTTGGCATGTGTAAATATATACAAATGTTCTACCGAGATTATTACTTTGAGACATGTTTTCTTCCCAATTTATGTTTCTGCGAAATGCTTGCACTAGGTTTTCACTTTAACTTCATTTTCTTACTGATGTTCACATCCTCATATGTTGCATATCTCTCATGAGCTTTCGTTTTTGTATCCATTATACTCGTTCAGCTTGATCCTAACGAATCTAAAGCGCTGATCTAAAATAAATTTATTTGACGTATCGCTTGGTTTTCTATTAGATTTTTAGTCACATTGCTGATTGTCGTTATTGGTTTTCAGGGGGCTGCATAATGGCAAAAACGGTTTGCCTGAGAAATCCACATGAATGGCATCCTTATGTTCATCAATATGGGTATTATGATCCAGTAACAGTTGGTAGTATTGACGGTACAGACACGACTCCACATGATCGAGCAATTCAGCGCGCCTTAACGTCGTCTTATAGGAGTAAAGAACACGTTTTTAACTGGGATCCAAAGGTACAAATCAATGTTTGACTTTGTAATCGAAATCGTTGCTTACACTGTAGTTTATTTCCCTAAGGTCGAACAATATTGAGTAACAGTTACTTCTGTTTTTTTTACAACACACTTCATGTTAGAGACTGATTCTCTCAGAGTTCTGGTGATGTGTTGTTTCCAGTTACTAGTAAACTTTGGGGTCTTACGGGAACTTGATGTAGTATATCTGGTCAATGTGACTGGTATTTTGGGTTTACGATATAAAAGGCTGGTATGTTGAACATCCGGGTGTTTACTTATAATAAAGGAAGGTACCATAGCCAGGACTTCCTACTGATTGCTTGTAATCATCTAATAGAATTGATTACAGTGGTTCTATGTACGGTTAGGTTAGCTAATCGATTTCGTAGCTTATAAAACGGTCATTGGGATATGTCAGTTTACCGACTTGCATATCTTCGCGATGTGGTTGTCACTCAAATTTCGGAGTTAAAGTGATGGAATGGATTGTGTGTTCAACGATATTTCACTCGAAATAGGACGTAACATTACACTGGGCATAGTTGGGATATGGATCACTATACTTTGCGGCAAGTTGTGGAATCCTTTTCATTCAAAACACCAAATACCATTTGTTTACATTGATGAAGTTGGAAAACTGGACTACTTGTAAAAGGTTTGATGTTATACGCCCAGTCACATATTCGTTATGCGCAGCTCCAATTTGTGGTTCGGGAAGCTAACGGGACTATTCTTCCGTATTCAGATTTCTCATCTAGTCTAAATCACAATTTGTAAAATCATTCATCCCTTCTTACAATACGTGGGGCTTATTCAAAACGTAATTGCTAGTGGAAATTGATATAGTTTCGTGGGTGCACTGCTGATGAGTCTCATAATAGGGCGCAACGATCGTCCAGTGTTTTCAGGTTTTCCATGGTGGTCTAGGTACAATTGACTATTAAATTCAACATATCTTTAATTTCCACTTATTGGAAGTACTCATTTGTTTCTGTAATATTGTGACTGGTCGTTAGAGACTTAAGTATTTTTGGATGAATAGTCTATTCACATACACTTGTTGAGTTGTGGAGTTAGCGTTATTGGCGTACTCGAACAATACAACGCCTATCTATGGTCAGTAAGTTGTAGTAACGGTATAGAGAATATTCTCAATCATAAATCAAAATTCATCATGGGTTATAGATCTCTATTGTGAGCGTTTTCTCATTTAAGTTGCTGGGATTCGTTATTTGGTGCATATTTTGCATCGACATATTTTTATATCTCTGATCAGATTGTTGTTATACTGAGGAAGGAATAATAATTGTTTACTAAACCAAACGTATGAGTGTTATTGTTGCCGTAATCATCATTACTGTTTATATCTAATCTTTTCTTTTTTGTTATTAATACTGAGGCTACAATATTTATAGGGAGGCTACCTTATCATACATCAAAAATTTGTTTACAAAAAGCACTGCATGAACTGTTGAATGAACACTTAGGAAATGATTTAAATAGTAAATCTAGAAAATACTGCCGTAGTCGTTCCCCATTTTCCTGCGACGAAATTTGGCCGAAAATTCATATTGTTCACAACATTGTTACTGGCTATCCATGTGGCTATGCATTTGCATATTTTTCATCAGAATCAGATGCTGAACGTGTACTGCATGCTTGGCGTAATCAAACTACTGTTTCAAAGAAATTATACAGTGGACTAAAAGATGAACGACACTGTGGTTTAGATATACCTAATGGTGATAAGGTTCGTTTCGATATAGTTTTGTAGTGTTAATATAATGTATAATATCACTACTAATTCATTTTAATTTAAATGCAACTAAACAATGAAGCACAGATTCTTGTACTTGAATGTGAGAAAAAAACTTTATATTTAAGGCTAGTGATACTATTAAGCTGTTTAAACTAACTCATAACCCTGTGATTGGAAATTCATTTCTATAGCTACTACGTTAACCAATCTAATTCGGTGATTACTGAAATGAAGGTTCTTTTATGTTACGATATGACAAATGTTACTGTTCGTGAATAATTTCGTGTAGTAGCTCACTTATTATATCATTCAGCCTTCTTAAATTTTATAATAGGAATTGAAGAGGGAGATTGATTATGAATACAGTGGTCTTGAGTGCCGTTAGAGGTATGAGGGCGGTTCGCACTTCCCGGTCGCTCACACCGTGGAAGGGTTCTAGAGGTACCTGAGAATAAAATTAGGTTAGAGGTGGTCTTGGTAACCTGAGAGCGTGACCGCAGTGCCGAACGGACAACTTCTTGAGGTCGGTCACACACGACGTTTTTGTGAGTAGTTTTCGTGTTAGCTCCGTACATGTTGAGACCCTACCGCGAGATGTGCATTTTCAGGGTTGACCTTTTCCAATCCCACGCCTCCTTGTGGGTAGGCAGTATCGCTGTTATGCTGGTTGTCTGAAGGCAACACCTTACTGCCGTCACACATCTGTGCAGTCAGCAGTACAACTTCGCCTTCGGACCTTGGGTTTGCTGCTTTTAGTATTATCGCTCTTCAACTGACCTGTCTGTCATGGTAGGACCTTGAGGAAATATTGTTTCAGCCAGTGTAGTTCGGTTGGTTCATCACGATAGGCAAGCCCGACCACCACGTCAAGGTAGCAGCAACGGTTGTTGTCCGCGCGACTGTCGTAACCAATGCTTGGAGACTATGGATCACATGGCTCAGAATCGATCACAATGACGTTAGTGTTTACACTCTTTGTCTTTCCTTAAACCGTGAGATTAAAATTACTTTATATCTTTTTTTCTACGAACTAATTCTTTTCCCCTGTATTATATCCTTATGTGCAATCTTTTATATATTACTACTACTGAAGTAACTAGGAATTTTGTGTTGGTCTTGCTGTACTAATGAGGTGCGACAACTTGAAATGATGCGTATATGTGCCTGGTCCTACATTGTAGCCGGCTGACTGACTTAGATCAGTTCACATAAATATTAGTTTTCCATGTTTTCAGTTATACAAAATGTTGATGAAAGATGATAACTATTTCAAGTTTGTAGTTTACATTAAGGATTGACCTGGGTTAAAAACCATTGAAAAGCAAGAATCACTGGGTATCTGTTCCGTAATTTTATTAAGCTCCTCGCTGAGGGTCCACGTAGTAGAGTTGAAAAATCCTGATTGCAAATCAATGGTGCACATGTGCTCTAGGATCCTGAAGGAACAAATAGTGCATAAACCAATTATTGGTCACCAGCTACCATGGGACTACATCCCCGACGTTGCTCCACTGCCTTGTCGATCAGACCTTTAGGTCGGAAGCTCCAATTGAGGCCTCCTAAGAAAACCACCTGCTTCAGTTTGGGCCCACACACAAATCAAATGACTTGTGTGGCGCATATGTATTCGGTGCCCAAATGAATAAGACTCCTCACCAATATTCATCCACAACATCAGGGGTTGCACACAATATTTTCAGGTTTTGTGGCGACAGCTTAACCTTTAAACTGATGAGATGGCATACAATAGTTTTCAGCTAGTGAAATCTCGCCAAGTTCATTGAGTGTCACTGGTAGATAACTAGCTCATTCTCAATACGATTGAAACTTTACTTATCTCAAATTCTCATTATTTCAATTTGTTTCTAATAAATTCTCGTAAGCTATTATTTAATAAAACAGTAATCATTGTCTGAGATAATAAGATTTTAAATAGAATTCGTTAACCTAACTATTCATTCTTTCATAATGTCTAATTGAGATATTTATAGTTATTAAACTATTAATGTTCATCTGTAACAAAGCATGGATTAATGTACATGACTTACCGTTATAATTTTTATTCATGGGATGTTAACTGAATAACCTTATATGTAGAACAAAATAAGTAAAGAAATGTACAAACTTATTAACTGATCAATTAATTTTTGTATGAATACTTCTATACTTCAATGAACTTTTACTGTATGTAGATGTTTTATTATTTAAATACTTATTATATTAGTGTCGAGATATAATTCATACGATGTTATTGCATTAAAACTAATAAATATCATTTACTTATAAATATATATTGTAAAATTATTATAATCAGTTCAGCAATAACAAATAATTGTAGTCACTTCCAAAAAGAGAAGAAAAACTGTCATACACACATACATATATATATGTAACGGTAAGGAGGAGGTGGAGTTGAAACTTTTACATAAGTAACAGTTATAATTATAAAAAGATTACGATATTCATCGATTAGTAATGATTACTTACTTACTTACTTACGCCTGTTACTCCTCGTGAAGGAGCATAGGCCGGTCACCAGGATTCTCCATCCAACCTTGTCTTGGGCAATCCTTTCCAGCTCTTTCCAGTTGTTATTCATCCTTTTCATATCTGATTGTATTTCCCGACGTAGTGTTCTTTGGTCTTCCTCTTTTCCGCTTCCCTTCAGGATTCCAAGTTAGGGCTTGCCTCGTGATGCACTTTGATTACTTGCGTATTATCTGTCCTATCTATTTCCATCGTCTTTTCCTAATTTCCTCTTCACCTGGGAGCTAGTTCGTTTTCTACCACAGAAGACTGTTGCTGATGGTATCCGGCCAGTTGATGTTGAGTATCTTGCGTAGACAGCTATTGATAAATACTTGTACCTTCTCGATGATGGTTGTTGTAATTCTCCAAGTTTCAGCTCCGTACAGTAGAACTGCCTTGACGTTCGTACTGAAGATTCTGACTTTGATATTGGTTGAAAGTTGTTTTGAGTTCCATGATTAGTAATGATAGTAGTGCTTAAACAGATAAAGTCGAACCTAGTATGAGTGGTGGTAATGTTGAAAGTAAAAGATATATAATTAATATATTTGTAATATCCCAATTCGTAGAAAAAATTAGATTTTCCGATGTTTCATGACTCAGTGTAAATCACTTCTTCAAAGAATAAATCCAAGTTTAAAACTTGGATTAATTTTGATTTGGTTATTTATTCTCTGGAGAAGTGGCTTATATTGAATCATGAAACATTAGAAAATCTAATTTTTTTCTACTCATTGGGATATTAAAAATAAATTATTTATAATAATCTATCCAGTGTTTAATTTATTCGAAATTATCAAGTCAAACCTTGGTAATGATACCTATAAAAAGTAAAATATAATTTGTTTAGGATCTAACACACAAGTAATACAGAATTTTCACTGAATAACATAAAGAATTTACAAATGACAACCACAGAAGCATCAACATGTAGTCTATGTCTATGGAAAAATTATTTACTCGTTTAAAACACTACTTCACTGTGTATATATTTGTACCTTATGTAAACAATTCAATAGATCGATTGTTTCATTAAATTTGATTAGTTCAGTAAATTATCCTATAGAATTTTTATAGTTAACATCACGGACTGATTTTAGGTCACCACTGAAAAACACGAAGCAATGGATAACTTTTTTGTCCTATTATGAGGCTCCTCAATTTCACATCCACATTATTTATTACTACTATTCAGTCAATCACTCAGCTACAACGTAGGACCAGGCGCATATGTTCAAGTCGCCATACCTCATTAGCACAACACGATGAACACGAAATTGTTAGAGGTAGTTAATTTAATGGTGGTAATATATAAAAGAAAGATTGCGTATAAGGATATAATACTGGGAGAAAGAATTGGTTCGTAAGAAGTATAAAGTAATTGTAATCTCATGGTTTAGGGGAAGATGGATAGTGTATACACCTACGCCATTGTGATCGATTCTGAGCCATGTCATCCATAGTCTCCAACCATTGATTATGATAGCCACGCGGACTACAACCAAGTAGTCTGCATCTACGAACCTGGCTAAGACTAGAAGTTAGTGACTGCAATGACTGGTGCTTAGTTTTGGTTTGACCGCCCCTAACTTTCTTCCAACCATCCCCAACACCGATTAGCATTGCGCGTCGTGGTAATCGGTGTTCAGGCATACGCAACACGTGGCCCCAACCATCTCAGTCTATGAAGATTCACAACCTCATCAACTGATTTACTATCATTCCCTAATGCCCTGCGTCTAACCTCACTATTACATATCCGGTGATCCCAGCAGATGCGATCAATGTTTTAAGGCATCTGTTATCAAATACTAGTAGCTTACGAGTAGTATTATTACTACTAGAACAATTGTATCCCTGCATCAAGTTAATCAATGTTTAAAAAGTATAAACATCTGTTGCTCTTTAATTTCCCCTGTTGGAATATTCATAGTCAGCTATCTTTTTTAAAAAATTTATTTATTTGAACACATAAATATTGGTACAAATGGGCACCGAATACATATGCGCCACACAAGTCATTTGATTTGTGTGTGGGCTGTGATACTATCCGGGTGCCCAAACTGAAGCAGGTGGTTTTCTTAGGAGGCCTCAATTGGAGCTTCCGACCTAAAGGTCTGATCGACAAGGCAGTGGAGCAACGTCGGGGATGTAGTCCCATGGTAGCTGGTGACCAATAATTGGTTTATGCGCTATTTGTCCCTTCAGGATCCTAGAGCACATGTGCACCATTGATTTGCAATCAGGATTTTCCAACTCCCATAGGTGGATCCTCCATATCCACCAACCCTGTTAAGGCGTGGGACATTCGCTTTTCGTCCACTCAATTTCGTAAACAATACCTCCGCAGCGAGAGGACAGTAAGTAGTACTTCCTTGGCAGTGGCTGTATACGCCTGGCCATGTGAGAGAATTTTGAGTAGGAGAGCTGCCTATCACCACCCTCGGCCGCACCAGGGCATTTGGGGGCTTTTTTAAACAAATTATTTTATCCTTTAAGCGATATAGTTTTGTCAAGATTTCTTGTTTATTTTTAATGTAATTTCAATTACAGTACTATTGAATTATACGAATTTCTAGTAGATGGTCTTTACTTTTGAAGTTAAAAATATAGAATGTTTATTAGGTAGCTATCAGTATATTTAAGTGGGGTTTTTTCTCTAAACTGGATGGTTTGGTCATGAACCTTCGATTGTTCTTCTGAGCAGCGAATGTGATGTCATTATCACAAAGGACAAGCTGGAAAACTCCTACAATCTTGACAATAACGCCTTCAATGACATGAAATTCACAATGGAAACGGAGTCGAAAAATAAACTACCATTCTTGGATGTATTAATCACTAGAGCCAACACAAGAAAACTAGAGATTCAGGTATATCGGAAGCCGACACACAGAACAAATTCTCATTTACAATAATAACAACCCAATAACTTAAAAATCAACTGCGTACAAATTTTATTCAAGAGGGTGAGAACACACTGCAGCACATTTGCACTGCGTAAAAATTGAAGGAAAATATCCAGTGACTAGCGTTTAAAAGAACGACTACTTAATTAACTTCAAAAAATATCAACCCGCCTGATCAACAAAAACAAAATCAAGTACAGAAGCCGACAAACGGATCATCATACCATATATAAATAACATCGGAAATTACAACCAGATTATTGAGGCCATTCGGAATAGGCGTAGCACACAAACCAACAAAATCACTTCAAGCTATCCTATGCAAACCGAACATCATCCACAAAATAAATTGTTCCGACTTCGAAAAACACTACGTCGGATAAAGTGGACGACTCAACCTAAATCGTCCTCATCATCACTCTATTTCATATAAATCGAGTTTTAAAATGTGAATTGAAGGATTTCAATGAAGTGATCTAAGAAAATCGTGATCTCTATAAAACTTTAACCATGGGATGAGTAATGATATTTTGTCCCTTAAAAGGATCTAACAACGTGAAGCATGGTGTTAAAAGAAACTCTATGGGTTACAGTAGTTCCTTACTGCTATAACATTTTCATTCAGATTTTGATATTGTCCATTCATTACGTTTCCCTGATCTCGTTTTATTGTTAAATCCCAGGTGATTTTAGAACCGTATTTTGGTGGTACACTGCCTGGTTGGAAACCACGTCGTCTTGGAGGCGGATTAGGTGGTCGTAAAGAAGCTGGACAGTTACGATTTGGCGGAATCGCTCGTCCTTTCAGACGTCCGTTTACTGCAAATAGTTCATCTTTGAGAGAAAAGAAAACAAAGTTTTTCAGAGATTAAGTTTTATTTACTTAGAAAATTACAATCGATTTACACATATGGTCATCGAAATATTGATATGAATATCTCAATGTTTTCATTTGTATTTCTTGGTTGTTATTTTTTCTCTAATATTTTTCTTACATGGTTTTCGAATTCCAGGGAATATGTAACTGATATTATATACAAGGGTCTTATTGATAACAGAGTAAATGACTTTCGAATTTGATTTTCTCCAAACTCTTATTACACAAACATATTCATTTTTCTGTTAATATTCCGTATATAGATATATTATTTTAAAAAGAAATTTATTCTATTACTTACTTACGCCTGTTACTCCTCGTTAAGGAGCATAGGCCGCTCACCAGCAATCTCGATCCAACCCTGTCCTGGGCAATCCTTTCCAGCTCTTTCCAGTTCTTATTCATCCTTTTCATATCTGCTTCTATTTCCCGACGTAATGTGTTCTTCGGCCTTCCTCTTTTCCGCTTCCCTTCAGGATTCCAAGTTAGCGCTTGTCTCGTAATGCAGTTTGTTGATTTCCTCAATGTATGTCCTATCCATTTCCATCGTCTTTTCCTAATTTCCTCTTCAGCTGGAAGCTGGTTGGTTCTCTCCCACAAAAGGCTGTTGCTGATGGTATCCGGCCAATGGATGTTGAGTATCATGCGTAGACAGCTATTGATAAATACCTGTACCTTCTTGATGGTGGTTGTTGTAGTTCTCCAAGTTTCAGCTCCGTACAGTAGAACTGCCTTGACGTTCGTATTGAAGATTCTGACTTTGATATTGGTTGAAAGTTGTTTTGAGTTCCATATGTTCTTGAGTTGAAGGAATGCCGCTCTAGCTTTGCCAATCCTCGCCTTGACGTCTGCATCTGAACCTCCTTGTTTATCGACGATGCTTCCCAGGTATGTGAAGGATTCCACATCTTCCAGAGTTTCGCCATCAAGAGTGATTGGATTGCTGTTCTCCGTGTTGTGTTTGAGGACCTTGGTTTTCCCTTTGTGTATGTTGAGGCCTACTGATGCAGAGACTGTTGCTACTCTGGCTGTCTTTATCTGCATTTGTTCGTGTGTATGTGATAGGAGGGCTAGGTCATCTGCGAAGTCCAAGTCGTCTAATTGGTTCTGAGCTGTCCATCGTATGCCGTGGTTTCCCTCAGATGTCGAGGTCTTCATAATCCAGTCGACCACCAGGAGAAACTGGAAGGGAGAGAGTAGACAGCCTTGTCTTACTCCGGTCCTTACTTGGAATGCGTCAGTCAGCTGTCCTCCATGCACTACTTTGCACTGTAGTCCATCGTATGAGTTCCGGATAATGTTGACAATCTTCTCAGGAACTCCGTAGTGTCGAAGAAGTTTCCATAACGTTCTCCTATCTACACTGTCAAATGCCTTCTCATAATCAATGAAGTTGATGTAGAGTGACGAGTTCCACTCAATTGATTGTTCGACGATGATCCGTAGTGTCGCAATCTGGTCTGTGCACGACCGGTCCTTACGTAATCCAGCTTGTTGATCTCGAAGTTGAGCGTCAACCGCGTCTTTCATCCTGTTCAGTAACACTCTGTTGAAAACTATTCCCGGGTATTGACAGTAGTGTAGTGCCTCTGTAGTTTTCACACTTGCTCAGATCTCCTTTCTTTGGAATCTTGATGAGGCATCCTTCTTTCCAATCCATCAGCACTTGTTCCTCCTCCCAAATCTTCTTGAATAGAAGACGAAGCATGTTTGTAGTTATTTCGATGTCTGACTTCAGTGCTTCAGCTGGTATATTGTCAGGTCCTTCTGCTTTCCCGCTCTTGATGTGTCTGATGGCCATTCTGATTTCTTCGGTCGTTGGTGGATTGACATCTATAGGAAGATCTGTGTGTGTTGCTTCGATTTCCAGTGGATTCATTGGAGCCGGCCTATTCAGGATTTCCTCGAAGTGCTCTGCCCATCTGTTCCGCTATTGTTGAATCTCAGTGATTGGTCTTCCTTCTTTGTCTTTGACTGGTCTCTCTGGTTTACTGTATTTCCCTGCAAGCTTCTTCGTCGTATCGTAAAGCTGTCTCATATTTCCTTCTCTTGCAGCTTTTTCCGCCGTCGTTGCTAGTTCTTCCGAGTATTTTTGCTTGTCAGCTATAATGCTCTTCTTCACTTTCTTGTTTGATTCTATGTACTCAGCTTGTGCTTGGACTTTCTCTGCTCGTGTTCGGCTGTTGTTAATTGCTGTCTTCTTGTTCTTCCTTTCTTTGATCCTGTCCAGTGTTTCTATAGAGCTCCATTCCTTGTGAAGATGGGCCCAGAACCTCTTGACACGTTGAAGTTAGTGCTTCTTTGATAACTTTCCAGTTATCCTCCATAGTAGTTTCTTCTTCCTTCAGTAGATCTTGTAGGGCTTGGAACCTGTTGTTGAGAGCTACCTTGAATTCATTGAGTTTGTCAGTATCTCGAAGGAAGGCTGTATTGAACCTTTGTGGTGCTGTTTGTCCAGTTCTTCTTTAGCTTCAGTTTCAATTTGGCCACAACCAGGTGGTGATCTGAAGCTATGTCCGCTCCTCTCCTGGTTTTTACATGTTCCATTGTCCTTCGGAACTGTGGTGTGGTGTGGTCCGGTGAGATCCATGTAGCTTTGTGTATACGTTTGTGTGGAAATATTGTACCGCCTATGAACAATTTATTGAATGCACACAGATTTGCAAATCTTTCCCCGTTTTCGTTTCTCTCTCCCAGTCCATGTAATCCCATGATGTCTTCATATCCGGTGTTGTCCATTCCGACTTTGGCGTTTAGATCTCCCATCAGAATGGTGAGGTCCTTTCTTGGGCACTTCTCTATGATTGATTGCAGCCTCTTATAGAATTGATCTTTAACGTCGTCGTTGCTATCATTGGTGGGTGCATAACATTGGATAATATTCATTGTGGTCCCTTCCTTCTTTGTTTTGAATGATGCTTTGATGATTCTGGATCCGTGAGATTCCCATCCTACAAGTGCATTTTGTGCTACTTTGGACAGCATTAGAGCAACTCCCTGAGTGTGTGGAGCATTTTCCTCTTGGTGACCGGAGTATAGCAGCATCTCTCCCGTATTTAGCCTTTGTTGTCCAGCTTGGGTCCAATGGGTTTCGTTGGTTCCCAGTACTGCCAAGTTGTATCTCCTCATTTCCGTTGCTATTTGACTGGTCTTCCCGGTCTCCCATATTGTTCGGACGTTCCATGTACCTATAAAAGTTGTTGCTCTGGTTGTTAGAAGGGGCATCGGCCTCGTGGCTTCCGAAGGAACTCGGCTTTCACCATGAAGCGTCATATTACCTCTAACTCCCAGGGCAGAGTTTAAATGGTTTGAGTTATTTTTTCTGGTTAGCGTTTTTTTAGCGAGTTAGTATTCTACGGAATGGGGACGCTAACCCCATGCCCAACCCTCCTCCTTTACCCGGGCTTGGGACCGGCAGTAGCCCCCCGAAAGGGACTCCAGGCGGATATATTTTTTTAAAAAGAAATTTATTCTATTGGGAAACTGCATTTTTTTCGTATATCAGTCCAACCGAGGGCTCACGTCAATAATTCATTCTTGTAAGTAGCTATCATCCGAACGAATCACATCGTTCAATATTAGCATTTGATCAGCGCATTTTACTCACTAATCAGACAATCACCAAACATATTTTGACCTATACTGACAGTCATCATGTGCTTACTAGTGACTGGCTTCAAGAGGTAATTCAGGTAGTTCTAGTGAGAAGCTGTGACCAGTAGAGCTCAACCGTATCGGGTAGGAGGCAGTTATCCGCTGAACATAATGGAAGATGGTCGTCCAATATTGTGAATTGGTTGGAGTTAGACATTAACACCGTTGGATACCGGCTCAGTGGTCTAGAGGTTAAGGGTTAGCGCATGAGATCGGAGGCCCTGAGTCTAAGTCCCGCATGTGAGGTCGTGTTACTCACTGCTGAGGAGTCCCATCCTAGGACAAAACGGCCTTCCAAGTTTTCAATTTTGGTCTAACATTGATCGGTTGATGATCTCAATGAAAAGCATAAAAGGCTAATTCAGATCGGTAACACTTAATAACCAGATTTTTTAACTCAAGTTTTGTACAACTTAGAGTATATTAATCTAGAATTAATTTGTAATATAGAAACTGTAGGTTAGTTCAATGATTTACACTGAACAGAATGCCATTTTATTAGGCTTTAAATAAACCCTATTTAGTAATATCTAGCTACCAAAATTATTTAATGCGATTCTCGATTAAGTCGTTGCATTGGTCTATAAAGTCATTGGTTGTTTAAGGACAAACCACAAAATCTTCACAATCAATATTATCTAGGCCAAAGGAAACGACAACAAATGAAAATAAGATGTCATCTACAGAATAAACTATAACGACCGTGTGGAACACTGCATAGAATAAAATGGCCACCATCTACGCATATGTAAAACATCATCTATCTGTTAAACTCCACGGCGTAGCTTCACTTATTCCGATGCTTGTGAACAACTATGGGCATTAGTTCGATTGAAAAAGCATCGAAATATTGGACGGGGAATCAAATAAGTTTTAGAAAGTCAGCACCCCGAACACATCGAAATGAACCCAATCTGTCAGTCAATACGGGAAAAGCTTAACAACGAGGTTAGAGATCAGGTGAAGAGTGATAATTATTAAAAGAACACATGAACAACAACCGATCAAACTTTAGGTCGACAAAACAAGCTGTTAGTCGATTATGGGAAAATTTCAACAAGTCAACTTTCTTTAAGGTATGTGCCGATGAGTTTGTCTGGACAGATTACAAAAGCTTCAAAATCAAACTATTCAGTTCAGATAATAGATCACCTCAGAAAGAATTCTGCCAGTCTGTAATTGAATAGAACTCTTAGTGAGTTCAGTAACAATTAAACTTTAAAAAATTCCGTCATACTGAATAAGTGAAAAATATCTACATTTAAGGCAAGTAGAGCCTTTAAAATTATCTCATAAATATAGAATTGTTATTGTCAAAATGACTATTATGTAATTCCGAATTGAATAAGTGGAAAAGATTTTAAAAGTAAAATAACCTCGTTCGATTTTCTGCTAACAAAAAAGCAGATGGAGCATTAGGAAAGGATCTGAACAACAAAGTTACATGAACACCATTTTATACGTATTACCTAATAGACGGATTGCTTTGATTAGCTCCTTCTATATCTATCGATTCCACTGCTCCTGTGGAGTAATTTACGTTACCAAATTTTCTAGGAATTTACACTCGTGTCCTTGAGCATCCTTCAGGATGGCTAACCAGATGTATAGTTAAGACTATAAACAGTTCATATTTAATCCA